GAAAGTAATTGGAAAAGTTACCTTGGAGTATCTTGCTCGTTCTTCTCCAATGATATCTACATTGGTGCGGGCAAATAGTTTCACTAGCAGACTGACACTATTACTATCTGAAGAAAAAACAGTGTGTTGTTTTGATATGCTATGGATTTCTTTGCGGCAGTTTATCAATTTATAAGCAACATTCCATTAGTTTTGGTAAGAAGCCAAAACATATCGATTTAGGTGTATGAGTAATCGTGACGTCGTCTTCACTGTACTGGTCGACAATTTGGGCTGTATGAAGCAAGGCTCGTTAGCTCAGTAGGTTAGAGCGCCGATATAATTCAATTCTTGACCATCGGAGGGCGGAGGTTCAAATCCTTCACGAGTCAGAAATTTAGTTTTTATTCTGTTTTATTTTTGATATTTTTTTATTAAATCAGTGTTCAATATTTTTGTTTGCTTTAGCAAACAAAAATATTGAACTGCAAAAATTGCAGAATTGTAATTCACATATTTCACATATGACTGTATTGCCCCAATTGTTTCGATCAAAGGAAAGATCTATCTAGCTATATATACTTTAAAGTATCATCATGACAAACAAGGCAATATTGATGTGATGGGGTCTATTAGAAGAAGACACATTGTTCATCCTAAGTTCAATTTTTTTAATAAATAAAGGCAGAGAGAATACTTCTTATGTTACTGCAGTAACATCCACTACTACACTATAAGCTGCTTCTTAATGGTCATTTTTGTAAATGTAGCTGGGAACTTGGACTTTTTTTTGACACTTTTTGTCATTATGACGATTCTGGTGTGAAGCCAAATGTTGTATGTAAAATTATCTAGCATTATTTTCAAAGTCTAGGTATTATTGATATTAATGTCTGCTGTATGAATAATCGTGACGTCACCTTTACGATACTGGTCGACAGTTTTGGCATTACGAAGTAAGGCTCGTTAGCTCAGTAGGTTAGAGCGCCGATATAATTCAATTCTTGACCATCGGAGGGCGGAGGTTCAAATCCTTCACGAGTCAGACCTTTTTTAAATATATTTTTGCTATCGTTCTTTATGAATTGCTTATTATTGAATTTATTTTCAAAATGGCTATCACAAACTTTCCACGCTTCGAAACGTCATCGGAGACATTTCACAGTTTTTATGGCGTTTATTTTTGGTTTTGGGAAATTTTATTGTTTTTTGAGAAAAGAGGGAAGAGTTAAAACATTCTGTTTTTTGAGGGTAAAAATAATCTCTTTCTCGCCCTAGGTTGGACGACAGAGAGTGTCAGATTCTTACTGACGAAAAACTACCCTGTAACTTCTCCTGTTGCTGCTTCTAACTTGCTGCGCTTTTCTTGCAACCGAGGCTAGAAGACATTCACACTCACAACGCCATCTACCTTCTTATCTATGTACTATTTGAAAGCCTAGAAAACTTTATCAATGTATATTTTGATAGAATTAATATAATCAATATCTTCATTGACTACCTACTGAATTATCATAAGTATCAGCGCAGTTATCGCTGCACAATACAAGTGATGTCATCACAACAAATGTTTAGGCAGAAACAATGGAATCTTAAATGATTACCTTCTTGCATACCTCTTTTATTTCATATACATTACTTAAATAATAATCGCTACCTTTGAAGATTTTGAAATAGTTTTAAAGCAGCACATATCGTCGTGGTGGCTTAAAGTTTAGGGTGCCTGCTTTTCATGTAGTAGGAGTTAGGTATTTGTGCTTTCTATGATTATTTAAACATCACTGCATTTCGGTAAAGGAAAACATCAGGATGCAACCAGGGCTTATAGTTTCTAATTATAAGTTTGAAATCGCTAATCCGCCTTGAGCAAGCGTGGTGATTAATGCTCATACCTTCTTCGTGTGAGAAGAAGCTTTTACTCAGCAGTGGGCACTTATAGGTTGATGATGCGGTTAGGTGATGTGTAAAGCAGAATATCAGCTCACAATTTGACAAATTAAAAATTTACATTTGCTATCTTAAGTCTCATCTTTCCACTATTGGTTAAACTAGTATAGAGTTTCTTTATTACCATAATCATAAAATTATCTCTTATACATATGTTTCCTAGTCAACTATATTAAGATTGTCAATCCAACCACGTATTGTGACGTCACAACCTCAATCCCGACCTTGGCTGTCCAAGTACATGACACATTCATCCTTTAGCACAACCTTTTAAGGTAATGAATTTACGGTTTAAAATGGATTAACATTATTATAATATTGTTTTGTTGGGAATGGAGGCAGTGACCGACGCGGCATTTTCGCATAGTGATGAGGAAAAAAATATTTTATAAGGCTTATAATAAAGCTAGAATATAATGTTCAAAGAAACGTGCAGGTTTCGTTATATAAAATCTTTTCATTTACATTAAATTAAACGCTGTGTTAGTCGGAGGCTCATCCCTTCCACCCCTATTATTCTAAATCCCCAAATTGCGAACTACCCACAAAAGGGTGTCAATGCACTTGTGACTCTGGGCTGTTTGGATTGCCTGCTTACTACCAGGGATTGCGTCAGCTCGATTGCCGAAAAATCGTATAAGAAATACCTACTATTACAGTTTTAAAAATTGAGTAAAATTATTAAATAGAAATCCACATGATGACTAAAGGATCCGAAAATTATGAATTAAAATGCCATCATCAATGAAACAATGAATTTATTTTTGCAAATAGAGGCATTTTTACACGTCAAATTATATGTAAAAAACTAGATGAATTGCATTTCCTATCTGACTACTCTGAGAAGAAATGCCGAAAGAAACTCAGAGGTCAGTCTCTTTTCAAGTCATCAAAGTTTCAAGTCACTCAATTTCCTTAATATATCACAATGAATAAACTCACATTCCATTTAAACAAAGTTAAAACCTAGCTTAACAAAGGAAGTGAATTAGTTGGAGTCTAAGATACCGATCTAAAGTGGTAATTACATTACTAGTGTGGAGATTACACCAGTGATAGACAATGACCATGCTTGGAGCAAGGAACTGTCGAGGCTTAACACTGGTTAGTTGTCAGGAAGAGGTAGATTCTCCTTATATGTATTTATAGGCTTAATAGAAAAAGGACTTAATGAATGCACTAAGTGTATTTTAGTAAAGTTTTATTGTACTACTACCTAAGTATCTACTACTGTTATAAAGGACATACTTTGTAAGTATCAATGGATTGTTTTTAGTCCTTCATGTAAAAACAACTGAACGGATCCGAATGAAATTTGGCGTATATATAATAGTTTGGAATAACTTATAGACTAATTTTTCGGGCGAAGCTACACTAGCAGAACTGCAGAAGTCGCAGCTAGATGGTTATAAAAATTAATTTGTGTGTATACATGTGATAATGATCACATTCAGCCCAACAGAGCTTCGCGCCATATGTATTATTTTTTTTTAAAGAAAAGACAAGGAAGAAAGTTGAACCAACCGTTCAGAATGAATGAAAGTTATGTAAATACTAACCATTGTATACTAATTTTAAAGTATAATAAGGCATAGTTTGCAGGTTATTTTTAATAGCTTTTTTCCTTTTTCTTCTCGGCCTGTAAAACCGCGACTAACCATCCGTGTCTGTTAGCAAAATATCGATTAATAAAGTACAGTTGGAGGCAACTCTAGTCGGTCACTAGTGAGGTGTAATTTGTCGATAACATCCGTTAGACTATCGATGTTTATGGTTATTGTTACGATCGGTCAGTAAGTAGGTTTGTTTAGGGGTGGTAGACAAGTAAAGTGCTTGCATTTTTTGCAATTAACATTTATGCATTGTATAAATTACATTGGAACCTTCTCATTGCATTTATTAAAACTTAACCGCATTCAAATGCTTCAAGTAATTTTAAAGGTCTAAGCATAGGGACATACAGCGGGAAGCGACTTTGGTTTATACCCATTTTGCACAGAATCTTCGAAGCGTGTGCGTAAGTGTGGGAGAGCCATGCTTCGGCTCGACCGTAGTGATACCACGGCCTCACAGAAAACGGGCGTGAAATAACCACAGCGTTGTGTTTCGCCGCGTGAGTGAGGTTACAGGAGGCCCAATCCTTCTCCTCCCCCAATCCCTGAATCTCCAAATCCCTAATCCCTAAAAGGTCGGCAACGCACTCGTAAACTCCTCCGTTGCGAGTGTCCATGGGCAGCGCTGATTGCTTACCATCAGGTAATCCGTTTGCTCGCTTGCCGACCTATTACATAAAAAAAAGCTTGTAATATCACGTCTTCTTTACGGCTTCTCTTGTGAGCAATCAAATATTTAGCTTAGATTCATTTTTGACAACGAAAAGTTAAAGTATCTTCAAATTAAATACACCCTCACCTGCTTAACCCATTATCCATAGGTACCAACCGTAACGAAACGTTATTTAACTATATAAAAAACTAATTTCACGGCTTGATAACCAGAGTAATTTGGACCTTAAGTGATTACACTTGAGTTTATTATAGGAAATTGGAAACTTTTTGTTTTTGGCGACCCTAGGCTTCAATGTGGACGATTTGAACACTAAGTTACACAGATTTATACAGATTACTAGGTACATTATGCTTAGATACTAGAAGTCTAGACTCTGTAATCAGTTGGTTTAGTTATTCATGGCACAAGAAAATGGAATACCATATAAGGCAATTACTGTTCTTTGATCTGATGGTGGTAAGAATGGAAGAGGCGGATCCTTCAGCCTTGTTTAAGGTCTGTGGGTGTGATTGTTGGGTTTTTAATTTAAATATTGCAGATTTTTCTTTATTCCCAAAAGGGATAGTCTTTTGATACGATACGACGCCAGACTTCTTATTTAAATAGACATATTTTATCTTCTGTACTTTACGCACGATATAGTGGGTTTTTGCTAAAAATAAAAATGCAATTATTGCTTAACATAACCATTTTTCATCTTCACCAAAGTTACCGCGTTTACAGATTTGACAACTATAGCTTTATTTTTTTTTTGCCTTTTCAGGTTAAGGACTTATTGTACTTACCTCTGAATGTGTCCAAGCTGAGAGGGCTTTAGGTGGCGTGTCAGGAGCTACAGCACCGAGCCTACCCCTCTTCCTCGCCTCTTGGAGTATCGGCACTTTGGAGTTCTTGTCTCCTGAGGACAGGATCACTTCGCGTTCTATCTGTTGGGAGGAAAGCCTGATTAATGCTAATTGTCTATAGGGATTTTCAATGTGGAGATACTTAAATAACAGATGCCTTCTTTAACGGAACAAGCGCTAGAGAATGAGAAAAATATTATCTTTGAGTTTGCCTGTTTTGGATCTTAAAAGTCCATGATAATGATGGGAGAAAATCGAGTCGATCGATGTTAATCGATACCTATATAAAAACGTCGTTAACAACTATCTACCCATTATATACTGCAGTTCAGAATGTTATATTCATGAGATTGTAAATTCGATAGCCACTGATACCAGTAACTTCCTTTACATATACTATTATGCAGATCGTCTGGACGATGGGTAATAAGCTAGTAAACATGGGTTTCAACCTCACGACCATTTCCTATAAACAAAGCCTTGGCAATTTGCCTAGAATGGAACGTTACTTAGCACTTAGTATTAGCATGCATACACACAATTAGATTTAAGGTGTAGATAAAGCTGACAGGGAAACGTTGGTAGAGGTGGATGTTCATTCACTCATCAGGTTACTATATCACTACCAGGAATGTCCCAAAATGGTAATAGAATGTATAAAAATTTTTGATGTACCTTTATCTTAAATTATAGAAAGAATAAATACTAATAATGATCGTCACAATGGTGCTATTGTTAATTACGTAGCTGAATCTGATAAACTTACCAAAATATTATTTCAAAGCGACTTAACAGAAGACGATACTAATGAAAAAGGAATAAATACTAAAGTGGTAGCACAAAAACGTGATTATTCTCACCTACATCCAAACGTCACAAAGAATAATCCAAAATACAACACTAAAACAGAAATTCTACAGATTTTCGATTAAATCACACACGTCTCGCCTGTAGATGAGCTATGTAACAATGAAGAACTTTCACTCAGACTCCATACAAAGCAAAAAATATCAATTCTCATGTATTGGAGAAATCGCGGATATTACTGGGATCCAATCACGATTTGTTTATTGCTTGTAAATGGAGCGGTACAAGTACTTAAGTTTTATGCACCATGAGAAAGAAAAGTGATTTTGTTTACAGATCGTAATTAAACTTACTGTAATGTGGAGTAGGTTATCTGACTAATTTAAGCTTATGGTGATGAGATTTTATTTTCAATAAGGAAGATTTTGAAGGGCTTAAAGTCACGTCAACTGGCGTGAGTGGGACAATAGGCTAGTTTCAGGCTCTTACTGTCTTAAAACCACCCCGTTCTTTCACCTGGCCAATTAAAATAATTGAAAAAAACAGTAACAAAGTTACTGATAAACCATAAAGCAAATTACAGTGTGTTTTATTTAATCGCCACAGAACCTCATAATTTTCCTCCCAGCAAGAAAAAAATATTGTCGCCATTACGATAGACAATTTATCGTGCACAGGAGCAATCTAAATATATATACGACACATAACTCGCATGTCAGTAACCCGAGGCAAGTCGAGTGGAGCCAGTCCAGCCACTTAACTAGCGGACTTGCCCGTCACTGACTTGAATGACGGAAGGATGGACAGGGATAAACTGTTTGTATGTGGTGTCGATGTCGATGTAAATGATTGTGAAGAAGCAAATGAGCAAGGTTATAATGAAAAGGAGTATAATGTAGAAGGTCTAGCATAAATAGATGAATTTTAACACAAATCTACATATTAGCAGAGAAAGAATGAGGGATTATAGATTATGTTAGGGATAAAATGCTCATATTTCTGATGACACAAATGATTATGATTTGAAAAGAAATTGTTTCATCTGTGTCAAGTTTAAAGCAAACATTAGTAGGTTTTTTATATAAATAGATAGAGTGATATTGTAGACAAAGGGCCACGCTTAAGATTAATTTGAGACTGTAATATGTGATGGTAATCCAGTACTTACAGGGAACTTGTTGGAATGTGTATGTAGTGCAGCCGGTAGAGAAGGAGCGGGGGCGCCGGGCAGCGCCGCCTCGGGCGCCGGCGGCATTCTGTACGGAGGCCCACCTTCGACTGTACCTGGAAATAAAGGGAGAAAGTTGTAGATAATACCATGGAACGGAATACATTATAAAATCTGAATAAGTGAAATGAATCAATTATCTATTTTGATAATATTTTAACTCGAGGTGTTTCGGGAGAAATATAACCAAACTTGGTTGGTAAGGTTTTATGCAGAAGGATTGCTATCTACTCCTTTAAATGCAAAAAAGTAATTTAACCATATTGTTAAGACCGTGTTCAAGAGTGCAAAATAACCGCAACCCGATGTATCTATGTCTCTTAGTGTAATCACAATATTTTTAGCGAATAAACTTGAAAATAAGGCTGTATTCCATCGTAGAGGACATAATAATGAGAAATTACTGTTGTCGACAGCCGACAAAGGAAGTCATGCAAAAAAGATTGCACTTATTAAGTTAATGCGGGATGATGATAGTAATATCAACGCGCAAGTTGTGCACTGGACTGGAATTATGTAAGTTATTCTCATGAATACGTCACTAGGGGAGATAGGAGTAGATATTATGATATGGATAGTGCATTAGCCTCTTGGTTACGGTAGTGTAGAATACAATTAATTGGTCACTATTTACATTTTTCCATGGTTGTCGTGAGAACCGTAACAATTAAGAGCTAAAGCGCTCTAATAAAAATCTAACTCTTTCACATAGGTCTATGCAAAAATTCGAAAATTTCAAGTTTGTTAGACTGCAGTTTATAGCAAACTCCTCTTTTATAAAGGCAGTTCATAGTTCAATTTACTTGGAGACATTTATTTCAGTTATTTATGATATCTTGAAAGAATTATCACAATATATAATGTCTTTCATCTGCGAATTTATAGTTTATATAATGAAACGCTACACTCGGTTATCGTTAGTTCTGGTATGAGTAAAAAATCTTATGTTGTTAGTTCTGGTATGAGTACCATGTGGTAGTGAACATCTTCTAGTTTTCAATTTCCAAACGGATTGAAATCAATGTATCTATACCAAATTGAAGTTATCCATGACTGTCTGTCAATGTACGAAACTTGTGCGATTGATTGACCTATCTGTGATGTGTAATGAGCAAACCCGAATGCATTTTTTGGGATTTTATTTACAATGATACCGATTCTATCTTTATGTTTTAAGAAACCTGTACCCCCTGTACCTATCAGTGAATTAAACTAATGCACGCCTTAGTGATAATTTACTTTCTGCGAACCTAGATGGCGTTTGCACTGACAAGTGAATAGAACTGATTGGATAGAATCGTGCAGTACCGTTATTTGAATTATTGTTATCATTAACTTCCTCAAGAAATAGAATTAAGAATGTTACTATTTGTACACTTAATTTTTCATTTGAGTTTGGATTTTACCGCTACAGAACTTAAACAAAACCTTTTTTTTAAGAGTGGTAGTTCTAGCATACTTGAAGCAATCTTGAGATACATTATTATAATTTTACAACAGGATGTCTAAAATGACTTTTAAGTACGACCAGCTAATGTGACGGTACCGTGGTTTGCGGTGTAAGCCCCTGACGGTAAACCGCAGTGATCTATTGATGAATGCGCGTGTGCAAGTGCGCGACTAGAACAGGTATTATTAAATTGCTACTTTACTCTTTCTAGGTTAAAACTTAACTGGAAATTGTGATGGCAGGTAATTTGAAAATAGAACAAGACTTGGTAATAATGATTATGAACACCATGGTCCTCATATTTTTACTTTTGTGAGTCGACATCAAAAGAGATTGTTGACTTTTTTCGAGGGGGAATTATGATCAAGTGACTTAAGGAAGAGAAAGTGTCAGACTCTTACTGACTAAATATCACCTTGTTCCTTTTTATGCTCCGAGCCGGGGTTTATTCTCAGAACAGTTAGATTGTAGTAATAGAAATTCACAAAAGTATCTGAAATTTTTCTTTTTTAATATTCAAAGGCGTAGGTGGAAGATACATATTAAAATCTTATGTTATTATTAATTACAATTCATTTTAGTTTTGCATAACGTGGAATATTTGATTGGACGAGGAAGTAGTAAACTTATTTTTGATGAGCTAAATGTCATTACCCAATCATATAAATATCTAATAATTAATAATAATTTGTAGATAGTTATATCTTCATCCCAAAAATAAGATAAGCAGTTAAAATATCTGATTGATTGCAATTGTTTTATAATAGCAACATCTTATCTTAAAAGACTTCGTTACAATTTCGTCAAAATACCGAAATTATATTATTATTATACTGTTAAAACAAAAAATTATGAAAGCTTCTTATCCATAACCTCAATTACGGTTTTTACCAAATTAAAATTGTTCTTCTAAAGTGGACAATGCTCCATATTTTTTGTGACAGACATTAAATTAAGATGAGAAGTACAAAAACATGTTAGTAGTGGCAATGAATGTCCGCCATTTTGGTATCAGCTGTGAACCGGTCCGTACGGCTGGAACGGTACCTTTTGTATTGGGTTACATTGACGATATTGTGCTAAGTGCCCCTGCTTGAGTCACTTGTACCTTGATCCTAAACTATAAATCAACTTTGAATAATTAATTACATTTATTTTGGATTTTTGAGTTCGAGTATTGGTGTGTGAAAAATAGATTCGATTCGATTCATATGAGTTAGGATCCCTAGGACATTCCTACTTAGATAATATTTTAAAAAGAAAATCTCTAACACCAAAATATATAAATATTATAAGTTGATTCTCTAACAAAATATGCAAACAAGCTTTAAAGTAGATCACAACATTACGTAAATGTATCCGGTAAAAAAATTCAATACATCGAAGCTTTATCCATTTATGTAACACCATGGACATGGCAGATTATCGCTATTAGTAAATAAATCATAATCTAATTAATATTCACGCTAATTATTCATAACAGATAAGGAACGGAAGGCGTTACGTTATTGCTATAAAAAATTGTTGTGCAAGCGAAATAAGTAAATCTCAAACAATAGCTAAAGCAGTTTCCGAACGCAGCGCGGTAAAAACAATATGGCTGCGGTTTTTGGCGGGAAAGAAAGTGACAGGTCTTTGAGCGAGCCAGTAGCTTGCCTTTTTTTACTTATCAATAAATTATAGTCTTGTAACTTGTTCTTTTTGCATGCGTGTTCGTATAATTTATTGAAATTACAATTTTATAGTTTTCTTATTTACAACAGATTTATTATAATATATTGCTTATTTATCTCTAATATCCGTCTGATTTGAATATTAATTTCTTTATTTCAGACCAACTAATGTATACATTTAGATTTTTATCCAAAGATAAGATCAGATGTTTATCTAAGTTCTGAGAACAACTATTAAATCTTACAGTTAGGTTTACTTTAAAAATCCACCTCACGATCATGGATTTAACGGATCAAGTTGAAGATGGTTGTGTTAATTTAGACATTAAAGTTATTGTTATAGGGTTTACAATCGTTGAGCATAAGTTTGAGGGTCCTGCGATAAGCAGGTGCATAGAGTTGACTTTTAACCGTGCATCTGTTTAGTATCGGTGTTTAGTTCTTTGTTGCCTGCAAAGGTTTTTTATTCCAACGGTTTTAAAAACTGAACAGGAAAAAATGTTCGTTAACTTATAGATAACCAGTGGAACTCATAAACGTGAGAACTAAGAAAATGAGAGAAATGAATTAAATTTTTTGCAATACGTTTGACAAAGTGAGTGTAAGACTTGGAAAGCAAAATAACCGAACAAAATAGTAAGGTTGTATGAAGGTTGATATGTAACAATAATGAGTTTGTGGTCTATCTGATATAGTAGTGATGGCCCAGAGGCTAGGCGCCCGCTTCTTATGCATGAGGGTGTGGGTAATAAACCTGGCAATTGCCAATGTGACTTTTTCCGAGTTTTTATGTACTTACTAACATTACTTAGACACCACTATCATACGGTGAAGGAAACCATCGTGAGGAAATCTGGACTTATTCATTTCTAATTATAAGTTTGTAATCGCCAACCCGCATTGAGCAAGCGTGGTGATTAATGCTCTAACCTTCTCCGTTTGAGAAGAGGCCTTTGCTCAGCAGTGGGCACTTATAGGCTGATGATGATGATGATGAATTATAAGTTTAAAATGGCCGATCTGCTTTGAGCAAGCGTAATGATTAATATTCAAAACTTCTCCATGTGAGAAGAGGCTTTTGTGCTGTGGGCACTTATAGGCTGATGATATGTGTTCCATCGGATAGAATACCGTAGAATGGAATAAAAATACATATTCCAATAACTCTGAATAACTTAGAATCAAAAGTAATCAGAAGACAACAGACATGAAAACTTCTATACTAAAAATAGAAAAGATCAAAAAAAATAGAACAGTACTTTTTAAACCAAATCTGTCTTACCAAATGCCATTTTAGACAGTTAAATGGTGGTCGTGAAGTGGGTGTACCAGAGTGCAAACAAAACCATGAATTAATTACGCAAACAGATTTAGTTACAGCCTCGTTACCTAGCCACCATATTTGGCAATAAATGCCTGTTAACTCATGTTAATGTTGGGGATATATCAATATCTGCTCAAGTAGGCTGTATGTTACTTTACCAATCAGGTGCATTGGAATGTGCAGTTTTATAAGTACTGGGTCTATTACTAATGGATTTTTAAGGAGTTTGTTTGGTCTTAGTTTAGACTAGCATCTTGTATTTCGAGTCTTTACGGTAAGCTAGTATCATCCCTATTTAATTTGTTGCGTTACTTCGAGGTTTAAAAAATCAACCAATAATCTGCATCGACAATGACGTTAGTCACGTAGGTGACGCAGTTGACATGAGACAGTTCGTCGACGTCGCCGCAACGCGTACGCTGCTCATGAATAAGAGTCCCGCTGTTACTCGAAACTAGTAGAGCTTTTCTTAGTCCATTCAGGCGAGTAAGTTTTTAATGAAAATTTAAAATTTTGCGCATAGTGTTTATATTTATTTTTAGTTTTAGCCCCGATGGTAAGTGATCTTCATCACAATTCTATTGACGATGTTTTAAGAAAAAGTGTGCT